GGGGGGGTGATAATGAAAAGAGAGGTTGAGAAAAATTGCTTCAAGAGGTTTTATAGTTATACTACAATCCAGGATTATTGTGTTCGATGTGCTAATGTATAGTCATATTAGTAGCTGTTTGCTGCAAGATGTTTGGACCCAGATAATGTTTACAATATAAATTCTTGGCTACTCCTTATGCTGTAATTTTACCCTGTCCATCATGGACATATCAGAAAACACTGGTCACCATCATTTTACTTGGATTGTAGCAGAGAATTTAACGTATTGATGGATGCAATGAAAAGTTAAGTATTTTGTTAAATTTTTAAGTGCTCAAATAATCCCAAATATATTGTGGGGATGAGTATCTCAGGGTAGGTAAACAGTTACTGATTTTTTTCCCTCAAAGTCAGTAGCTTTCTTCAATATCTACTAATAAATATGATTGTCTTTGAAATTGAATTCCAAAATCTTATTGGAATATAATAAAGCATACATAATCAAGCTTAGGGCTTAAGTGAAAGATGCTGTTTCATGTAAACTTTCAGTAGATATTTGATTTCTTTTAAAAATAAAGCTGTTTTTCCTTATGCATGTTTATTTTGTCAATGGCAAACAATAATACATCTTTAAATGCTTATAAACTGCTCTTGTTAATATGAAAAATGCGAACTCCAAGGTAAGAAGTTAATTGCATTTTTTTGGCCACTGAAGAGTGAAAAAAATTCACTCAAGTCAGAAGTTCTAGTCCTACTTCTACCAGTAGCTACCAAAGAAATCTGAACAAGTTACCACCTAATCTGACCTTAGTTTTTTCCATCTTGTCAAAAAGATGGTTAAGAGTTTATATCCAAGTTGCCTCCCACTTTTCTAGCAGAGTCAGTCAGTGCTTCTGTTGGACTGTAATTAGACTTTAAAATTTTTTTGTTTCTAAAAAGTGTTTCTAATTGTATATGAAGAGTAAAAATAATCATCAAAAATGGTATATTTAAAATTTAAAAGAGGATATTAGAGAAGAAAAGCTGTATATTCTTTAATAAAATTAAATGAAATAAGAAAGCAGGAGAATTGTGTTAACGGACAGAGGACTTAAATTTAATATTAGCATACAGGCCTATGAAACCACCATCGTCCTGATACCAAAATGAGACAAAGACACTACCAAAAAAGAAAATTACAGGCCAATATCTTTGAAGAATATAGATGCAAAAATTCTCAACAAAATACTAGCATACCAAATCCAACAACACAGAAAAAGGATCCTACACCACGACCAAGTTGGATTCATCCCAGGGTCACAAGGCAACATACGCAAATCAATCAATGTGATACACCAGATCAACAAAAGAAAAGACAAAAACTACATGATCATCTCAATAGATGCAGAAAAAGCTTTTGATAAAATTCAACATCCACTCATGATAAAAACTCTTACCAAAGTGGGTATAGAGGGAAAATATCTCAACATAATAAAAGTTATTTATGACAAACCCACAGCCAATATAATACTCAATGGTGAAAAGCTGAAAGCCTTCCCACTAAAATCTGGAACAAGACAAGGATGCCCACTCTCACCACTTCTATTCAACATAGTATTGGAAGTCCTAGCACCAGCAGTCAGTCAGACAAGAAAAAGAAATAAAAGGTATTCAAATTGGTAGGGAAAAGGTAAAATTGTCATTACATGCAGATGACATAATACTATATATAGGAAACCCTAAAGACTCCACACAAAACTACAGGAGCTGGGGCTTCCCTGGTGGCACAGTGGTGGAGAGTGTGCCTGCTGATGCAGGGGACATGAGTTCATGCCCCGGTGCGGGAAGATCCCACATGCCGCAGAGCGGCTGGGCCCGTGAGCCATGGCCGCTGAGCCTGCGCGTCTGGAGCCTGTGCTCTGCAACGGGAGAGGCCACAACAGTGAGAGGCCCGCATACCGCAAAAGAAAAAAAAAAAACTACAGGAGCTGATAAACTAATTCAGCAAGGTAGCAGGATACAAGATTAACATACAGGAATTGGTTGCATTTCTTTACACAAAGAATGAAATATTAGAAAGGGATTGTAAACAAACAGTCCCCTTTAAAATCGCATCCAAAAAAAAAAAAAATACCTAGGAATAAACCTGACCAAGGGAGTGAAAGACACATATGCTGAGAACTATAAAACATTAATAAAGGAAATTGAAGATGATTCAAAATGGAAAGATATCCCATGATCGTGGATTGGAAGAATTAATACTGTTAAAAGGGTCATACTACCCAAAGCAATCTACAGATTTAATGTGATTCCTGTCATCATGGCACTTTTCCCAGAACTAGAATAATCCTAAAATTTTTATGGAACCATAAAAGACCCAGAGTTGCCAAAACAAGGAAAAAGAACAAAGCAGGAGGCATAACCCACCCAGACTTCAGACAGTACTACAAAGCTACAGTAATCAAAACAGCGTGGTATTGGCACATCAACAGACATATGGATCAATGGAACAGAATAGAGAGCCCAGAAATAAACCCACACACCTAAGGTCAATTAGTCTTCAACAAAGGAGGTGAGAAGATACAAGGGGAAAAAGACAGTCTCTTCAGCAAGGGGTGTTGGGAAAGTTGGACAGCTACATGTAAATCAATGAAGTTAGAACACACCCTCACACCATACACAAAAATTAACTCAAAATAACAAATACTTAAGACATGACACCACAAAACTCCTAAAAGAGAACATAGACAAATCATTCTATGATGTAAATCATACCAATGTTTCTTGGTCATTCTCCCAAGGCAATGGAAATAAAGGCAGAAATAAAGGGACAGAATCAAACTTACAAGCTTTTGCACAGCAGAGGAAAGTACAATCAAAACAAAACACAACCTACGAAATGGGAGAAAATATGTGCAAACGGTGAGACTGACAAGGACTTAATTTCCAAAATATATTGGGTTGGCCAAAAAGTTCGTAACATCTTACAGAAAAACCCAAGCAAACTTTTTGGCCAACCCAATACAAAGAGCTCACACAACTCAACAACAAAAAGCCCAATCAAAAAATGGGCAGCAGAACTAATAGACATGTCTCCAAAGAAGACATGCAGATGGCCAACAGGCACGTGAAAAAACTCTCAATGGCGGTAATTATTAGAGAAATGCAAAGCAAAACTACAATGAGGTATCATCTCACACCGGTCAGAATGGACAAACAACAAATGCTGGAGTGTGGAGAAAAGGGAACCTTCCTACACTGTTGGTGGGCATGTAAGTTGGTGCAGCCACTATGGAAAACAGTATGGAGGTTCCTCAAAAAAACCAAAAATAGAATTACCACACGATCCAGCAATCCCACTCCTGGATACATATCTGGACAAAACTATAATTCAAAAAGATACATACACCCCTATGTTCACAGCAACACTATTTACAATAGCCAAGACATGGAAATAACCTAAATGTCCACTGACGGATGAATGGATAAAGGAGATTGGGTGTATACATATACAATGGAATACTACTCAGCCATAAGAAACAATGAAATAATGCCATTTGCAGCAACATGCATGCAACTAGAGATTATCATACTAAGTAAATCAAAAAGAGAAAGACAACTACCATATGATATCACTTATATGTGGAATCTAAAATATGACACAAATGAACTTATCTACAAAACAAACAGACTCACAGACATAGAGAACAGACCTGCGGTTGACAAGAGGTGGAGGTGTGTCGGAGGGATAGAGTGGGAGTTGGGGTTAGCAGATGTAAACTATTATATATAGGATGGATTAACAATAAGGTCCTACTGTATAGCACAGGGAACTATATTCAATATCCTGTGATAAACTATAATGGAAAAGAATTTTTAGAAAGAATGTACATGCATAACTGAATCACTTTGCTGTACAGCAGAAATTAAGTGCAATAAAATAAAATATACAATTTTTAAAAAATTTTTTACTAAATAAAAGTCCTTTTTGTACATTTACTCCCTTCAATGAAGGGAGCAAACTGCTAATTTCATTTATGCAGCAAACATCATGATTACATATGTAATTTCAGGAGTATTTTAATCTGTAACTATGGAATTCTGTATTAATTAAAATAAGTGATTAAAAAAAAGCCTTCAAAGACCATCATGAATGGGTTAAGAATAACCTTCAATTGAATACTCATATAAATAGGGTTTTTGTTTTGTTTTATGCCAAATTTAGTACAGATGGCTGTGATACAGTGGAAGGTACCCTAGCTTGAAAGCACAATTTGTGATTTGCATCTTAGGCAATTTAGTTCAACTTTCTGAGCCTATTTTCTCAACTGTTTAAAAGGGGACAGTAAAACTGTCAGGATTATGAAGGTAACATAAGAACAAACATGGAAGTACCTACTGCCACCTCAGGTCTCTTCAGATTGTCAAGCCAGGGAATGCATATCTGACGCAAAATTGGGTATCGAAGGCTTAAATTGTGACTCTATGAGACTGGGAACTCAGTGATTAGGAATATTGGTCATTTATGGGGGGTTTGTTTTTAATGATGAAAACTGATGTAAGGAAACCTGAGACAACTGGAGGTAAAGCAGAAGCGAAAGCAGCAGGAGGAGTGATGTGGAGGAGTAGGGAGCCTGGTAAGGAAGGTCAGAGAAGACTTTGTGGGTGTCTGGCCTGAGCTGAATACCCAGAAAAATAGAAGAGGATGCCAGGGAAATTATGAAGTATGCCACTATTACTCATAGGGCAATAATGGCCCAAGCAGACCAAAATGGTAATACTTCTTTGGTGAAAAGGATGAGAGAAACTCTTTAACTGGTTTGGAGGTCTGATTTAAGAATAATTTGGGTCTAGAATTGAGGAAGAAAAACAAAAAGGCAATGCAAAGAAATGGAGCAGGGCTATATGAGTTAACCGATCGGGTGGTACGTGAATCCTAGACAATGTTAACTGAGTCTAATTGTATTAGACTAAACAGAACAGAAACCATGTTAATCTGTAACAAACAAGTAGCACCAGCCTACTAGAAAAATGAGTACTACTGGTTAGACTAAAGCTGATAGTAAACCAACAAAAATGATTTTCTGATTATATCCAGAACAGGATAAAGAGATATGCTTGAAACAGATGGTCGACAAGGCAGAAATTAATCACTGAATTGAAAAGGTAAAATGAACATTGTATAGGGAATTTAGGACTAAGATAGGTATAAAACATGCAAAAGAAAACTTAGCTCTCTAATACTTAAAGTTCTCCAGGCCTAGAAAAATTATACTTCAGCAAATAGAGCTTGCAAATAAATATTGCACCAAGAGTCAGCAAGTCTGTTTTAACTGTATGTTTAATTAACAATCTCTAATTCAAATCAGTAATTTGGGGGCATTTATGTCAAATCTTTGTTTAGATGGCTAAAAATATTCAGTGATTCATTTATGGAGACCTTGCAGCATTCATTGTTCTCTCTGCTACAGAGAATGCATAAGTATGTATCTCCCAAACCTTCATGTAATAGCTGCTGAAAAGCAAAACATTACTGGTAATTGACACTGTGATGTCTGATATCATGTTTCTAGACTTTATATTTGTCATAACTTTTTTGTTTTTTTCTTTTTAGAGCACCACACTGTTGTAGGAAAAGAATTTAAGTAGTACTTAAAGAATATCCAATGATTAAATTCTTCCAAAAGTCTGTCTTAAGCTCATTAAATAAAAGAATCAGCCCAAGGTGGGACATAGTTAACATAAATATATAAGTAAACTATTATGGGGCATAGAGAACAGTTTTCCACTGAAAACAGTATTTTAAGTGAGTGACAAAAATCAATATATGGTGTTTCAATTACCAAAACCTACACTGACTATAGGAAATATGTTTATGAGTATGCACTTGGGCTTATTTACCATTTTTCACACAAAAAATCTTGGAAGGTGCACTATTGCCTTTTTTTTTAAGGTTCAGGATGTTACTTACTGTGACGACTTGATAACTAATGATTTTCCAACCACTTATTAGCCTAGACAAAACAGACAAGCCTTCCTTATTTATTTTTATTTTTTGGTGAAAACAAGAAATACAGCAGAGTAACAGATTTATTTTTCCTTTGAGCACATAGGAGAAGACTAAAGTACTATCTTTGTTTAGTTTGACAGAGCAATTCTACAAGTACTTACACTGGTTAGGAACATAGGATGTCAAGTACAATATTTACTGCTAGGCCAAGAAATATCAAGACGACAGTTAGGTTTTTCTGTCTGAGAATACTTCCACAAGACAGCACAATTTCAAAGGTCACATTCAATTATATTTCTAAGAATAGAGCTATATAAGAAGAGAGAACAGAACAAGCTGATATATTAGTGAACATTCACATAAGTCTTCATACTGCACAGGAAACAAGCCTGATATTTTTGCACACATTCTCAATTACAAGCAAAAAGCATGCCTGTAAATGTCAATTTTGCCAGAAAGCATAAATGGAGAAAGGAATTAACAGGACTTTACTCAAACACAGTGAAATAAGGAGCATACACCATTAATCGTTCACATATTCTAAAATAATACAAAACATTTAGACTTGCATTTTTGTGTACAAAAAACTACTGGTGAATTCAAGGAGTTAGGAAAAACTGAAGGAAAACGTAACTCCTCCCACCATCCTCTTTAAACATCAACCACTTTCATTCTCCCCTCTCCTGGGAAAAACCTCAGGGGCCTCCCCTCCCCTGACCCTACAGGGTTCCAGTCTTTCCTGTTTACCTTCTCAAGCCCAACAATCCACAGCAAGCTCATTTGTTTTCTGAGCTTTCAGTTTCTACAGCCTAGGACACCTTTCCCACTGCTCTGTGTCCAGACATCCCAAGCCCCGCGGAGCAGACTTTCACACACACCCTTACCCCCTAGGAGGGAGGCTTGGCAGCTCCCACAATGCAGTCTGCAGCCCGCTCCCTCATTTGTTAGGTCAGAAGCAGGGAAGGAAATGCATAAGCTGAGGACTGAGAGCCAAGAAGGCCAGGCAGTAGGATGGAGGCTGTGGGACATCAGGGCAGTCAAAGAACAGTACAGAGGACACGAGTGACCCTCAAAATGCTGCCTTGGGGTTACTTCTAAGTGGTCCAAGGCCCAAAAAAGAATTTCCATGCTTAGAAAGGTGGAGTGAAACTACGTTTTGATTGCCTTGGATCACAGCCTACTCTGGGTCTGTCTTGAAGCCATTACTGTGAGGCCCTTCTGTCTCCTCTCAGCTTCTCACACTAAAGCTCAAGAAAACACACAGAAGGCTTTGGTAAATGGATGAGGAAGAGGATGGGGTTGTCAGAGTTGGCCCCCCAAAAACAATGCCCATAAGTAGGCAATTAACCTACAGGTTTTCCTTTGAAATGTTTAGACTTTGCTAAAGGAAGTGAGGTGGAGACATGAGGGCAGAAGACAGCAATAGATCTGGATCTGATGCACAGTACCTTTCTCCTTCTGGACACAATCAAAGGGAGAGCAAATTAAACAAAAAGCCTGCTTTGCCAGTTTTGTTTTCTGTTTCTGAGCTGTAACTGCTTCTGAGAGGAAGAAGTGGTGGGGTCGGGGGGCAGTGGCGGGGAGGTAGACGGAGACAGAGACAGATGTATAACAGGTGCCACAGACTAGAAAGACCTCTTCGTCGGTGCCCCCGCCCTGGCAACTTTGTCATGTTCAGAATGGGTGCGGGAGGGGTTGAGAAGGGGATGCCTCATAAAGTTGCCTAGGTTAAGGGTGGTTTGTCAGCTAGGGCTCAAAAAGGCTAACTGCTTGAAGGGACCCCCCCCACCAGCTTTGCTTTGGACGCTGTGATATTATGACTGCCCAACCTGCCGACAGCCAGTTGGGCTTATGGGTAGCCATTTGGGGGGCAGGGAAGGGGATAGTTCCTGTGTGCTGCCCAGGAGCTTAAGTCTACAGATAGTTCCTGAAGAGGAAGGCGATGGTGCCTGTGCAAAGCTCATTCAGAAGGCTGAGTGCAGGTTCGGGTGGGCCGTATCACAGGCCTTCATACTCACCAGTATGTGATCACAATGCAGGGTGCCCAAAGGCATAAGAAGACCAACATGATAACATAGAACACCTGTCATCTGTTACCTCATTCATGCCTAGTAGCCACCCACCAGCCAGCTGCTGATTCTGCCAGATAACCAGCAGTGTGGATGGCATGGACCCAGGAAGACAGTTGGAAACCAGTTACTGGTAGCCTGGAATGTTCAGTTTGGGTTGATGACTGGCATCATCTACATAAGCTTCATCTTGCAGCAGTGAAACTCAAAGATCTTGCCACAGAGTACATGGGTATCAGGAGGACAGCCTGCATAAAGTATGAAGCCCAGCTAAGTATTTGCAAAGGTATATCAAGCTTCTTTGTGGTAGACAACCACTTTAAAAACTGGGAGAAGGCCATCGTCAGACAGGGCCAAGGGCATGCAAAAGAAGGGAGTGCATATCAACAGTATCATGTGCTTGGCATAGAAGTAGTGGAAGGCTGTGCACTTGGAACATGTAACACGATGCAGAACAGCAGGAAGGCTCAGAGGAAGAAGAGCATAGGCATATAAGCGATTATCTTGCCACTGATTTTTGAGGATTTAGAAGGACAAAAGGACAAAATAATCCAGTGTGAAGAGAAAGTAAACGGAAGACTGCATGCTGTTGGCTAAGCACAGGTCCAAGAGGAGGTGGTAAGGAAACTTGTGCAGGAGCTTCTCACAGGGCAGGAGTTAGCCGGACTGGAACCTGAAGGTCCTGGAGCTCTCCACTGGCTGCCTTGCTGGGTCTCGAAATCCTCTGCGGGGCCCATCACCCATCAGGTAGTACTGGAGGGGATTGGGCCACAGTTCCGCTTTGATAATCTCTGCAATCCTGTCGAATTCTAGGAGGCTGTGGTCTGAGAACCAGTTGAAGAAACTGGGAATAGTGTTGCCCTCCCGGTTCCTGTGGATATGGGACTGGGGGTCTTGGCCCCGGTGCCAGCGGATTGGCGTGGAAAGAGACACCACCCGGCCAGAGGATCTGCGTTCATATTCCTTGACAAGCCCCTCATTTCGGAAGTAGGGGTTGCTCTGAAAGATGAACTTGAACTTGCAGCCTGCTCTGGGGTGTTTAAGCTCCTCCACTTCCAAATTGATCATGTACCTCATCATGTCTTCATCTTGGCCACTGATCATAGGTGACAGCTGGGGATGGTTGCGAAAGGCAGTGACCCAGAAACCTGGGATATTTTGGATGATGAAACTTCTGCGCTGCATATGGAGCCTTCGCATACGGCCAAACTTGCGCTCCAGCTGAAGAAAGGCCCTGTCAGCCTGAGCATTTACATTTGACAGCTCCTGATCGATGGCTTCCAGCGAATCCATGCAGTTATTGATCTTCGGGGCCCTGGCCCGGGCCTCCTCCTTCGCTCCTCCTACCACCTTTTTCTCCTTCTGCATCACCTTCTTTTCCTCCACCACCGCCTCCGCTACTCCCTCCTTTTCCGCTGCTGCTGAAACAGCGCACTTTTTTGTCGTCATTTCCTTGGCTTTCGCCCCAGGCATTATCTGAGACCCCAACCTCCCTGCGCCACAGGCTTCTAGAGCCTTCTCGACAGCAGGGCTGCGCAGCTCTCTACGCTGACAGCCATTTTTCTGGCTATTGTCGGCTGCCACCGAGGTGGAGGCAGAGGCTGCTTCCCGGCCCTCGGTGGAAGCAGGAGCCTCTTTCTGGCCCGCTTTGGTCGCTACGCGGCCGCGACTCCCAGCAACCCGAATGCGGAGCGCAAGGCCACAGCCCGCGGGGTCGCGGGGCGCGCCCCCCTCTGCGGCGGTCTCCAAGCCGCCCTCACCTGTGTCCGCCATCACCATGGTGGCCCCGGTTTCCTCGCCCTGACACTGCTTTAGGTCCGGATGTCCCGGGGCGTGGTCGGGAGTAGCGAGATCGCAGGTTTTAGCGACAGGGAGGTTGTCGCCCTCATCCAAGCCGCTCATTTTGGTAGAAGTCAGACCTGCAGGAGGAGAAAGTCCGTTGTCCTCCGCCGAAGCCGCGCTCCGCCCCTCGCACCACCCCTCTTTTCCGCTCTGAGGGATGCTGCTATGGCAACCGGTGACGTTAGGCGGTAGCGTCTCAACATCGCGCGAGAGTTCGTTGCGTCTTATGATTATGCTAGTCTGTCAAGGGTGTTTCTTTGTCTTTGTTAAGAAAATGTTATGAATTTCGTGAGTCTGGAAGAGATTTGGCTTGCATAAATGGATACAGACCAAACTCGAGCAAGTGAGAACTGTGTGAGTGTGGATTTCTAAGGCCCTGAATGAATTTCTAAGGCACCTACTGTCTTTTAAAATACTTAACTGCTAAGAAAGGTTAGTTATTATATTCAGTTCAGCTCATGGGGCCTTTCTTGGATAGTAAAGTGGATTCAGCAATTCGCAGCCCTTCTTTAACGTACGGATTCGTTGCTGTTACCAAAGAATTGAGATGAGCAGGTTTTGATTTCTAAGAAAAGTGTTGCTGTGTTAAATGTGATGATTTTAAAAAATTAGGAGCAGCTAAAAGGGAAGTTTCCTCATCCTAAGAAGACATAATAAAGGATTATTTCAATTTGCCTTATAGATTTTAAAGTATATGTACTTTGGCAAACACCTTTGAAGCAACTGGACAATATTTTCACTTTCAACTGATGTTAGTAGCAAAATGTATTTTCCTCACTTAGAGGTGACGCACACACGTGCAAGGGTGCAAATTCAGCCTTTAAGCGATACTGGAAGAAACGTAATCAAAGGCGATTTTAATTTCTGAAAGCATACGTATTATATAGTCCTTACCCTCGGGTTGTAATCTTAATCTGAAGAGTTCCTGCTTCATAATGGCTGTGGGCATGAAGCCAGCAATTTTGCCAAATTTTTCTTCTGTGATAATTCACTGCAGGGCAGAAGCCATGATCAACTGTTTGCAGGCACCGGGGCTACTAATTGTCTTAATTAAAATATTTTAAGTAACATTTAAAAAGTTAATGTTAACATATTTGAGTAAGAAAACTTGTTTATTCGGGTCAGTTCGTTCATACATTTCATTTGATAGTGTTATCACTACTATCTGTTCTGTTTGTGTGAAAATACTGGTGTTAATCCTTAGGAAAATGCAAGAAAAAAAGGAAAACTTAAATTTGCATATTTTTGTTTAAAGTCTTAAATTAATATTAGAAAAATGATTATAACTCTTTGTAATAGAAATTCCACTACAAAGCACCCCAGATTATGATCACTTTCAAATAAGGACTCAGGAGAGATTTCAGTTAGAAGTAAAGATTTAGGGGCAAAGGATTTCGAGAAAATCAGCAGTTACATTGAGATTTCTGGTGAAGGAAGTAGTGCAGACCTGTACAGCTAATAATGAGGTGCTGTTGGAAAGATACAGGCAGACATTACAGAGAAACAGCCTGTCATCCAGCTTCATAGTTTAGCGCACAAAGGTTTTCCAGAGAGTCCATAGACACTTAAGATATTCAAGGACAGACTGTCCAGATTGACTGCTGCCAGCTAATCAAAAAAAATGTGCAAACAAGATTCACTCTTCCCAGACTATAATTATTTTTCTCTCTCCTCTTTCCTCTTTTAATAAATCCTGTTTTTGCCTTTGTGGGGTGAAATCTATTTATTTATCCTGCTTATAAACAAGGAAACGGCATGCTACAATTAAGTGACTTTGTGACTTTGAGTTTTTCTTTGACACTACTCTGCCTTGTTTCTTTTCTTAAAGAATCTTTTCACTGTTGAAGGATTAATTCTCTTGGGTTATAACATGAGCCAATAGACAGAGAAGCAAATGCTGAGTGAAAGTTACTTTGCCATGCAGGAAAGAAAGAGTTTGCTATTTGTAACAGAAAATTAGAAAATTACATAAGGCTACTTCATGTGAACTTTTTGCTCTAGTTGTATGTACCGAATTTTTTTGACTATTTTTTATACAATTTTTAAAGGTTACACTGCATTTACAGTTATTACAAAATATTGACTATATTCCCTGTGTTGTACAGTACATCCTGTAGCCTATCTTACACCCAATAGTCTGTACTTCCCACTCCCTCATCTTTATATTTCCCCTCCCCCCACCCCCACTGGTAACCACTAGTCTGTTCTCTATATCTGTGGAACTGCTTCTTTCTTGTTATATTCAGTAGTTTGTTATATTTTTTAGATTCCACATATAAGTGATATCATACAGTATTTGTCTTTCTCTGTCTGACTTATTTTACTTAGCATAATGCCCTCCAAGTCCATCCATGTTGCTGCAAATGGCAAAATTTTGTTCTTTTTTATGGCTGAGTAGTATTCCAGTGTGTGTGTGTGTGTGTGTGTGTGTGTGTGTGTGTGTGTGTGTGTACCACATCTTCTTTATCCATTCATCTGTTGATGGACACTTAGGTTGCTTCCATATCTTGGCAATTGTAAATGCTGCTGCTATGAACATTGAGGCGTATGGTATATATCAAAATTTTTAAAAGATTTGTATCTCCACTACTTGAAACATCCCTGTCTCTGATTATTCCTGTCAATAGAATCATTTTCCACTAATAACAGCCTTCCCATTCTTTAAAACTCCATTCAACCTACCTCATGTAGATTGTACTAGGCATTTTAAATGAATTAATTTCATAAATAGGACCCAGGAATCACTGAGAAGTTAACTCATCCATGGTCGGACATGTATTAATTGGCAGATTGTCTCCTCTCATCTCCTATACCTTCCTTAACCACCTTACCATTCTATAGCTCTTGTTGCTTTTGCCATCCAGTTGTACTTACTTATCTTCTGTCTTTAACTGTCTTGGTTGTTTCATGCAGATCAGTCTCCTCATCCCAGCTAGACAGGATGGCTGCATAGTGGCTTCTTCGTTAGCATCTACTCTATATATACAGTAGCCCGGTGACAATCTCATAGATTTTAGTGAAACTTAATGATATGATCTAAATGAAGATTTTAAACATGTTTTACCAAAATGTATAATATGGCTATGATGGTATTACAAATTGAAGGTCTGTGGCAACCCCATGTCAAGCAAGTATATAGGCGCCATTTTTCCAACAAGTGTTTGCTCACTTGGTGTCTCTGTCACATTTTGGTAATTCTTGAAATATTTCATACTTTTCCTTTATTATGAAGTTTGTTATAAATATAAAATTTAATGGATGAGGGGTTGCTTCTCATGGATGAGCAAAGAAAGTGCTTTCTTGAGACAAATCTCCTGGTGAAGGTGCTGTGAAGATTGTTGAAATGACAACAAAAGACTTTAAACTTAGTTGATAAAGTAGCAGCAGAGTTTCAGATGATTGACTCCAATTCTGAAAGAAGTTCTACTGTGAGTAAAATACTATCAGATAGCATCACATGCTACAGAGAAATTGTTCATGAAAGGAAGAGTCAATCTGTGTGGCCGGCTTCACTGGTGTATCTCTTTAAGAAACTGCCCACAGCCATCCCAGCCTTCAGCAGCCACCACGTTGATCAGTCAGCAGCCATCAGCATCCAGGCAAGACTCTCCACTGGCAAAAAAAATTACAACTCGTTGAAGGCTCAGATGATGGTTAGCATTTTTAAACAAGAAAGTATTTTTAAATTAAGGTATGTACATTGTTTTTTTTTAGATATAATGCTATTGCACACTTAGAGACTACAGTATAGTGTAAACATAATTTTGTATGCACTGAGAAGCAAAAAAATTCATATGACTCACTTTATTGAGATACTTTATTTTGGTGGTCTGGAACTGAACCCACCATATCTCCAAGGTATGCCTGTATATATTCATCATAGCTTACATTTATTTTGTGTCTTCTATACACCAGACACTTACACACTTAAATGTGTTATCTCATTTAATCCTCTCAACACCCCTGTGAGATGATAATATTATCACCTCCATTTAATGACTCTACCTCAGAAGGAATTGAATGAAGCACAGAGAAATTGAGTTGTTTATCCAAGGTCACACAGCAGTGATAGAGCCAAAATCTGAACCCAGGTCATCTGACTCAGGAACCTGTGCACTCATTCATTATATTATTCTTCAACCCTACACAACATATAAAATGAGAAGGCACTTTCTTAGAAATAAGATCATATGGCCATCCAAATTTAATGTTAAATCATCCACATCCACAAAGTAGTGACTATTTTGGGGGAAGTGCCCCAATGATACTACTAAGGGGAGACTAAGTTACTAAGGGGGAGAAACAAGAATTCATGATCCTCACTTCGTGCCTTAAATCAACAGTTCTCAACCCATTAGATATAACATTCCTTTTTTGTTATTGGTGTTCTACAGACCCCGTCTTACTAGAGGAGGACAGAAGGCATGGGCTGCAGTTCCAGCTCTGCCTTTCATGAGCTGTGGAAATCTGGGCAAGTAAAAGAAAGTAATTCTTATAATATCTATTTTAATTTGTAACTGCTTGGGTGTGCCTATATTAAATTACATGATGAGGTAGTTAGGTGGCTATACCTATAGAATCAATAGTTCCTTGTATTTTTTGGAAATTAACCTCTTTTAAGATACATGGTTTGCAAATATTTTCTCCCATTCCATAGGTTGCCTTTCCACGCTGTTGATTGTTGATAAAAGTCTTAAAAAGCTTCGTGTCAGAGTTTAATTGGCAGTTCTTTTCACTCCTACTGTTAGGCAATGATGTATCTTACAATCAATGTTTTAGAGTAAATAAGTTGCTTTCAAAAATGGAATGTATAAACAGTGGAAAAAAATTTTGTTTTCATATGTAGGATAGTGGTAGGTTCTAGGCTTAAATAATAAATTTTTCATCTACATGAATATTCAGCAATGGATAATTAGTTTATATGGGGCACCGTCTATCACATTGCAGGATGCTAGCGTCCTTAATGCCCCTGATGAATGCCAATAGCACCCACATTCATTGTATTGATAATAACCAAAATAACTGGCAAATTTCCCAAGCATCCTCTAGGGGGAGGTACACAGACACAT